CATCATAACAGGAGCCTCCAATATTGAATCTGCCATTAAATTAAAGAATCAACTGATAAAGATGTTCAAAAACTGCAGAATGTCTTTGCATAGATGGAGTTCTATCTACAGTATCTAAAGAAGAGTTTCACTTTGATTCCAGTAAATTTACAAAAACTCTTGACATAATTTGGCATCCCGAATCAGACACTTTTAAAATTGCTTTCCAAGATAAGTACTTTTCATGAAAAGAGATGTCCTTTCAATCATTGCCCAACTGTATGATCCTATTGGTTTTATGAAGCCAGTCACTTTAACTAAAAATATTCCTTCAGAAACTATGGTCTCTAAGCACGATGAATTATGTGAACCATTTGCTAATGGAATCATGTATCAGAGTTAAAAGGCCTGGAAAACCTTAAGCTAGAATGATATGCTTGTCATTCTATAACCCAATGGTCCCCAACCTTTTTGTCTCTAAGAGCACATTCTAGAATATCTGTTGGATGGTGGGCACCATTTACTTTTTCAAGGCGAATTTATAGTTGAATAGATACATGTGACCACCCGGTGGCAAAGTGGCTAGCACATCGCACAGCTACGCCACAGGTCTGAGGTTCAATCCCTGGGCTAGGCAAGGTTTACTCACCCTTTTATCCCTTGAAAGCGTCGATAAAATGAGTACCAAGTTCACTTAGGAACTAAACACCGGGAGTCCTGCAACAAGCTGACCACTTGCCCAGTGCATATGCTGATGCACTCTGGGGCCAAAGGTCAAGAAAGCAGATTTTGGGGCACTGCAGATCGTGGTCCTCTAGAGCTGTTGCACTACCGAATTTAGTTTAGAGACACATGCACATAAAAAAGAGATCAGTCGCATTTCGCTTTGTGCTGGTATTTGTGTTAGATGCAATTTCTAGTTCATTAAAAACGGGAAAACTTTCGCTTAGAATTTTATTGAAAATTAAAACATTTTTATTGTGATTGCACGTTAAATGATTGGCAGGAGCTATGGAACCTGAATGCATAGGGTTTGCAACCCTGCTATAAAAAATAAAAAGACTGTCGTAGGTTTCGCTGATGTTTCAACATCTGCGTATGGAGCAGTGGTTCACTTAAAACCCATCAAAATAATCCTTGTTTAAAGTTACAAGCAAGCAAATCTCGAGAGCAGCCTCTTTAAGGACTCTATCGAAGCTCTATTTAGGGCTTTCATCTTCTCTTATACTTGCTACCTTGTTAAATGAGTTTTTCAGCCTTAAATTTAGATATTCAAAAGGTAACATTATATTTGGATTCAACTATAGCATAAGCATGGATAAACTCTTCACCACATCAACTTAAAACCTTTGTTGGAAATCATGTTTCGAAAATTCACACATTATTTCATTATCAGAGAACTTTTTTTTTTTTTTTTCCCAATGGCAGATTGCGAACAGTTACGGTGTAATATAGTCCATTAATTTATACAAGGCTAGATGTGGTGGTCTCTTTATTATGGAGGCACCTAATAGGTGGACCACCATCGCCTCCTATGAAGGAATGGACAGTTACAACCATGCCTTCTCTGAGATTTGAACCCAGGCCCTTCGGTATCACAGTCAGGCTTCCCTAACCACTGTACCATTTGGGTGGCTTATCAAAGAACTTTTAATAGAAATATATCTGTTTCAAGAAGAATCCTTCAGATTCATTTCCTCATGGAGTCGAGCCCAGCAAACTTTTACCTTTACAATTTTGCTCAATGGACCTGATAGTCTTGACATCAGTGTTATAGAAAAGGCCAATTTGGACGATAAATGAACTTTACAAATGTGAACTGAAATGATCTTCTCTTAGTGTCACTTCTAATGGTGATTTAATTTACCATTTTCTTTCTTTTAGTTCTGTTAAACTTATTCATATTCTTAGTTTTATTTATAGGTTTATTTTCAACTGCCATGAAGGGAAGAAGTTATTAGGTTCTATTATTAAGGATGAATTTACGTATGCCAAACTATTCAATGTAATAGTAGTGCAGAAAATAAATACTATTCAGAAGAGAAATTCAAGTTCTTAGAGTGGTAAATATCTAAAATCCTATTAATAGTCACTTAAATAATGCAAGTACCTTTTCTTGATGAAAATGGAATATTTAGGATGGGCGGCAGATTAAATTAATCATATCTGTACTATGACCAAATGTAATCAATCCTGCTGCCCAGGGATAATAAACTAACTACATTAATAATGCACCACTTTCATTTACAAAATTTACATGTTGATGCTCAAACTTTGTTAGATTGTGTTCAACAGTAATTTTGGCCATTAAATGGCAAAAACAATGCTCATAAAATAGTACATAACTGCATTATCTATTTCAAAAATAAACTCAAAATAGCCCATCACCTTATGGTACCACTGGCAAAAGAAAGAGTTTCAGTGAATCTCCCATTTGCAATAATTCACAATTTTTTATGCGGACCATTTTACGTAAAATATAAAAATCAATGAAGTACCTTAGATAACATACACATTGTAACTTTTGTGATCGTTGACCTGAGTGATACATCTTGATTTTGTTACAGGTTTAACATCACAGGCTGTAATTGCAACATTAAAAAGGTTTTTCGCAGGACATAGCCTTTGCCCGACTATTCAGATAACACTACCAACTTTGATATGAAAAAGCTTCTAAACCTTGACAAAATATCACCTAGTCTGTTCCCATATTTAGCTTCTGAACCAATCGTTTAGAAATTCAATCTATCGCAATCTCCCAATTTCAGTGGTACTTATAAAGTCAGAGTGAAATCTTTTAAGCAGCATCTAAAACAAACTACTGGAAACACAAAATTAACTATCGAGGAATTTTTGACTGTTATGAATCAAGTTGAAGGTACGTTAAATACTAGACCTCTGTTACCTCTATCTTCAGATCTCAATGACTTCGAGACTCTGCTTATTATTATTATTATTATTATTATTATTATTATTATTATTATTGCCACCATATATTGTAATAATTTTATACTCTGCTTATTTTTTTAATCGGAAGGCCCCTTAATGGTCTGCCTGAACCTTGTATTTCATAAATTTCTGAATAACAGACTTTCCTGCTAGTAGAAAATTGTCAAAATTAATCAAACAATATGGAAGAAATAGTCCAGAGATTATTTAAATAGACTTAAATAGAGACGTAAATAGTTTCGTATTGTTTTATTATTATTGGGGGGGGGACTTGATTCAGAAATTCATATATGTATGATGTGTGCATGTGCATATAAATGTGTGTATACACATACACACTGCAAAATAAATAAATAAATAAATATTTAAAAAATCTGAAAGATTTTAGATTTTAAATTACGTCCAAAGGGGCATTTTTTGTAATGTTTTGTGTGTTACCTTTATTTATTAAATATCATGTTCTACTTACTCAAAATATAAAATTCAGTTCAATAGCAATATCGCAAATTAATTTTAAAATAAGCATATCTTTAGAATTTCTGATACAGAATCTCGCGAGCTGGAGATAAAAATGTTTTTTTTTCGTACAGTGTTGCCATTACTCACTTTGAAAACATTTAGTTTTTAATAAAAAATTCATTGAAGTGTTACAAAATATGAAATCGATAATAAAACAAATCTCAAATTCAAATTACGGCTTCCCCATGCCTACATTCTATGGAAGATTACGTTATTCAAATTTTGATGGGTTTAGGTACCGTTGTGTTATCCCAATGCGAGAAACATACATACATTTATGCAGATTCTTCATTATTTAATTCCTTTAAATATAAGACAGGGCAATAATATATGGTAGAAACAATTTGAAAAGTGATACACCCTTTAAAAGTGTTCAATGCAAAATGCCAAAATGAAATTAATAGTCCTTCAGGGCAAACTGCACTTTGGACTAAAAACGGACAGTTCTATATCTTCCGTTCTACTGACCCAACTGACACACAGCAGATGCCGTCCATTACATCACTTCATGCCCACTCACCAAGTCGCTTAGATCTCCAGCCAACACCGCCCTACTCCAAAGTAAAGGTCTCAGAGGTTACCTAACGGATTTCTATGGTCTCCAGGAAGTAAGACAGATTGTCAGCTTCGTCAATGACAACAAGACCATCATACAAGTCATACCAGGTTAAAACCTGACGATATGTAAAAGGCAGCATGCCTTATATAAATATGTAATTAACTCACTTTTTCATATATATATATATTCAAATTCCTATTCAAACTTGTTTTCACTAATATAACTATTCAATGTAAGTTGGAAAAACCAACATCAAATTGTATTTATAAATGTAATTTGCTTTGTAATTAATTAATAACGAATGACCTGTAGTGCCCAATGAGAGGCGAGGCAGACTAAGAATAAATATTATTATTATTATTGACCCAACTGACGAAATTCAAATTGCAATTTTCATGTCTCGAAAGCACGACTTAGGATATATATAATAGATTTATATAGAGCATTATTCTAACATACGTATTTTGACACAAAATTGGACTTCCTTCTGAAATGACATGCCAATTGTTTTCATACTTCGATTCTACAAATCAAATTATGCCTAAATATTAAATTTTGTAAAATTTGGTGTGAAATTTACAGAGAAATTGAAAAATTTATGTTGGCACACTTTTTTTTTCATTTTGTGCCAAGAATAATTTACTTTGAGAACTTTTAATTTATAGCAACCTATTTTCCTTTTTTTTCATTGTAAAGGAATGGGGAAAAAAGTCATCGTTTATGCTTTCAAATAATTTTAACAAAGTGTGTAAACCACATATGCCATTATTAGCTATCAAAAAAAGAGATGACAAATTTCAAATTCCTTAGCATGATTTTAATTTATATATATATATATATATATTATACCACTTATATTACATATATATATAATATTAAATTACAGTAAGCAACTTGCTTAAAGTTCATGGTGCACAAGAATTATACATCAGTTATACAGTGGGAGAATTTTTTTGTTTTTTTTTTTTAACACAAAAAACTTTTTTTTAAATACCTGAAAAAATTTTGTTTGAAACCTAGTAAATGCACATCCTATCCTCAAATCAAGTTCTTGTCTGGCATCAACAGACAGAGATTCATTTTCATTAGGTTCAGTCAAATGATTCATTGCAGCTTTTATATCTTTTTCTGTAATAGCACTAAATTTAGCCCGAAATATGACCTGCAAAAAATATATCACGATAAAATTAAAATGTTTATTGATGACATAAATAATAGAAAATAAAAATTTAACACAATCCCAAAATAATTTCTAAAAACTGATTAAACAGTTATTTGTAATCTATATTCAATATGTTTTCTCCAATAGATTTTTAATCTAATTATATTTTTAGAAATTGCTTTTTATAATAATTTTAATATTAATTTTAAGCATATATATCTACATATTATAAATCTTCCAGAAAAACCAAATAACACTGTTAGCATAAATTTAGATATTTTGCATAATGAAACTCGAAAGGCATACAAAACAAACGTGAGCCAAGATATATATTGGCGAGAGAAAGTAAAGTTCGTGTGCAATGCAGTATATTTGATTTTCACCCTAGCTACTTGTACCTGGCCAAAGGTCTAATCCAGTAGTACTTTCTCTTTTCAGGTACTATGTCGAAGTATGTTCCTGTTTCTTTTCTTTTATTGCCTAAAATAGCTAAGCCTGATATTTAGGACTGATGATGATTCTATGTAAGTTATCTCCTTTTCAATACCTCAGTGTTTTAATGTCTGTGAAGATTATTACTTTTTGTTATGCTTAAGTTAAGCAAAATTATCCTATTTTATTAAATAAAAATTTCATAGTTAATTTTTTGACTTATGATTCTTTAATGAAAACTGTGCTTGAGGAAACTTACTCATTACGCCTTCAGTGCTAATGCGCAACCAACAAACATTAGTCTTGCTGTGTTGACATTAGTCTTGTCTGTGTTTTCTTAAAATCAATTTAAATAGCCAGTGTAATTTTCTTATGGTTAATTATTTGAAATCATGACAAGATAATTCATAAATCACCAATCTATGTTATAAACCATTCCCAAATGACCAGTCCTTAGCATCTTTTCCACTCTTTAGTAAATTAAAAATTGTTAACGGTGTTTGTAAGAAGGTAGAGGAAGACATAAAATGCAATAAAAATAAAATAGCAAGTGGCTAGCTCAAAGTTCTCATTATGCAGGCCTATAAATGACCATGGGTAGGATCAATAGCCACTGGCAATAATTTGCAACACATATAAATGATCTATCTATAATCTTGAGATATTTAAACGATAAGGGTTGTGATAAGATGAAAGTATTTAGCCAAATTTGAAAAACAGTATGGTACAATTAGCATATAGTGACAATTCCAAAAGAAAACACTAAATTATGCTTAAAAAGTATGAGGTGATGTTTTGACTAATATAATCATTTACATGGTACAACAGCCTACTTAACACACAATTTAAATTCAATATGGATATGAAATATCTAGCATAAACTTGAATGAATTAAATACTATTAACTTAGCATGTTCTTCCTCAAGACACACTGGAACCTGTAAAGCAAGAGAGTATGGCTGCAACTTAAAATATCTTGTAAAAATTAAAATGTAAAATAAAAAGTATTTTAATAAGCAGTTTATAACTTATTTAAAATTCTGTATAACAAATATCTCATATCATTTCTTAATAATCTCATCAATTTTTAGAAAATTATTTACATTTTAAAGAAAAGAAATGGCAATGAAACATAAAAAATTAATTATTTTGAGTGATTTGATAAGCATTTCAGTTGGAATCATCTCTCAAACATTTTTCACCCACCATGCAACTAAAGTAATGTCTGGCTTTCTAAAATTGCCGCCTCTGGTTTTTAATACACAAATCGAAATATATCCATTCCACTCAAAATACTTGCACATATTCACATTGAATGGCTTATTTATACTGACATCCAGTGGTTGTAAAATGGATGTCAGCCTCCTGAGATCACAGAAAGTGTTGCTTTTGAACTTTCTACAAGCTTTTTTGCTACTTCCAAACAATAAGGTCGAAACATATCCCAAATCAAAAAGGGAGGTTTTCATAAAAGTGCACATGGTTTTTTGCACCATACATTTTGAAACCAGTCAATCATTAGGGTGTTGTCCATTAGAGTCTAACCATTTTTCTGGATGCAAATAAAAACACCTAACAGATATGCTGTTTTTTCAGTAACATTTTTTACTTGAAAATAACCATGGGAGGCAACTTATTGCCATTTGCTAAACAGGTAAGAACTACTGTAAAATGAGTTTTCTCATGACCAGTCATTTTTACATAAATTCTTTTTTTACCCTTTTCATCACCAGTGAAATTTTCAGGGAGATCAAAAGCAGGGCTGTGGAGTCAGTAGGGAAAATGACCAACTCCGACTCTCTCATATATATACAGTACAAAGACTGTAATCCGGACATCCATTATCCAGAATGATCTATAATCCGGACCTCAAAGCCACAAACTCTTTTTTTTTTTTTTTTTTTTTTTTTGTACGCTTTACACATGCACTTAATGCGTTTACGCATGTGCATTTAATGTACAACAGACGGTATAAGCTAGGCTAAAATTATCTTTACTGATTCTAAGGCATTTCAGTTAATGTTGCAGATTGCGCTGTTCCTTGATCTTCTAATTGGATTCGGCTTATTATTTTTTGCAGACTGTTAGAGCAATTTTATAAAAATTAAGCTTGAACTTTCAATTATGTCAAAAAGAGTTTCCAGTTCTGGAGCTGCCAAAGGATCTACAAAGCGAAAGCATGTTTCGATGTCCATCAAACAAAAAGTGGAATTGCTGCAAAAAATGGATAAAGGCATATCTGTCTCAAAATTATGCGAGGAGTATGACATTGGAAAGTCAACTGTATATGACATAAGCAAAAAGAAAAGGGAGTGAATTTTTTGTGGATTCCGACAACCCACTTGCAATGAATAACAGAAAATGGGTTTGTTATGCTAAAAGTGAGGATCATGACAAAGTGATGATTGAATGAGTCGTTGCAGCGAGGGTGTGCCATTGACAAGTCCAATGCTAATGGCTCAAGCCAAAATATTTCATGAAGAAATGAACTTAAACACTGAATGCACATATTCGACAGGTTGGTTAACCAAATTTAAAAATCGCCATGGTATAAGACAGTTAAAAATTTCAGGTGAAAAACCTTCAGCTAATACTGAAGCTGCTGAACAATTTGCAGATGAATTCATTAAACTCATTACTAGTGAACAATTATCTCCAGACAAATTTACAATACTAATGAAACTGGTCTTTTCAGGCAATATGTACCACGAAATAGCTTGGCGACCTCTACAGAAAAGGCTCCAACTGTCAAAGATTCCAAAGCAAGACTAATAATTTTAGCATGCGCAAACGCTGCAAGAACGCAAACTTTTCATAAATGGAAAACATGCACGACCTCGAGCATTTAAAGGAGTAACGATTTTCCACATTATACACCGCGCAAATAAGACAGCATGGATGACACAAGCGTTGATGAATGATTGGTTTGAAAATCATTTTATACCTGAAGCTCGGCGACATTTTAATTTGATTGGTTTACCTGATGACTCAAAAATAGTCCTGCTTGTTGACAACTGTTCGCCGCACACTTCACTTAAAGTTTTAGTGAAAGATAATGTATCCGTATTATTCTTCTCTCCAAATAGTAAGTCTATGATTCAGCCTATGGATATGCTAATAGTGTGCTCACTGAAATGCAAATATAAAGTGGAAGTTTAAAATCTATGTTAAATTTCTTGAACAATGCCAAGACTGTTCAAGACATTTTGAAATTTTTTAACATAAAATCTGCTGTGTGGAGCATTGCAAGATTGTGGGAAGATGTGTCTCCAGATACGTTAAAAAATGCTTGGCATAATTTATGGCCAGCTACCATATTTCATGGTGAGGACGATAAAGATGATAGCCGCGAATTTGAAGGTTTTCGGACATTGGAAACTAAAGGTGAAATTTTCCAGTTATTGGATTTTGTAAAGAAATGTGGAGAAGCGGTAATAAATGAAGATGATATTACAGAAGTTTTTCATTGCGATGACAATGCCTCAATCATCAATCAATTATGGCGAAATCTGTAGTATATTTCCAGATCCAGAAAATATCACTTCCGATAGTGAAGAAAGTAACAGAGAGGTTATTAAAAACAAAAAAATTTTGATTGACAAGTTAGTTGGTATTCTTGACACAGAAATTACAGAACTTGAATAGTGGAACTATGTCACTGAACAAGAAATTATGTCTGTTTACAGAATTAAAGAGAAAGTATTAGCACAAAAAATGAAGCAACTTAAACAACTTACATTGAAAGAAATGTTTAATAAAGTAAACAAATAAATATTAAGCTTTTTTTTTTTTTAATTTTGATACTGTTTAGATCATAATTGCTCTTTATTTCATAAATTATGGTTTCATATTTTTAATTGTATAATTTCTGCATGCCATCTTACCAGATTTAAATTGATGATCTATAATCCGGAAAAATCCCTAATCTGGAATCGCCAAAGTCCCGATGAAGTCTGGATCATGGACTTTGTACTGTATATACGTACGCATGGGTTACAGCTTATTTTTTTAATATAAAAGTAATAGATGCTACAGAAAAAAATTGATTGCATAGCAAATTATTTATATTAATTAGCATTTATTATGGAATGGAAAACCGGGCATTAGTTAGTTCTAAGAAACGGTATTGCTTCGGTAAGATCTTCTTTGTTGGAGGGCCATAGATCCGATTTGATAAACTTCAGAGCTGAGAAGAGTCTTTCCACACTAACTTGAGTAGGAGGAAGAGCTGTTACTGTTAGGACTACTTCTTTAACTTTTCTGGATAGATTTTTATAAGTTTTAAAAGAAATGTCTTGCAAGCACAATCACATTTCTCAATTTCCTCAAAGGCCGTGTAGAAATCTTGTTTGTATTTTTTCATTTTTATATCTAAAGTTTCTTGGTTCTTCATTTTCATTTGCTTTCCTTAGCCTTTTCAATATTATCCAAAAGTACCTCTAAAATCTAATTCAGCACTGGAAGAAGATGATAGATACTCAATAAACCCTCCATTTCAGAAAGAACAACATCACATTCTTCCATTCTTACCTCCTGTCAATTCTTCAGATAGCAGCTTTTTTTTTTTTTTTTTTTTTTTTTTTGTGGCTATATACGGTGTGGAAAGAAGAGTTTCCAATTCTGCAAGATCATTCCACTGTCTTTCTGTTAGTGAAACTTTAGGGTTATCTACATCTTTTAAACAGTTCTTATTTCTAACAGCCTCTTTATCATCAAATGTGTACTTCTTTATCATGTTGCTTGATTAACAATTGCTCCTTTTCCTGCTCGCTTCCTAAGAACGGCATCAATTTTGGGAGTTCTTACTGCTATTGCTGCTTACCTAAATTTACCAGTGAGATTTATAACTAAATGAATCAGTTTAATCACTAATTGCAAATATCACATATATCCTTCTCTCTTAGATTTATTTATTAATATGTCAATAAAATAGAAAATAACTATTTATTAATGTATATAATCCATAAATAAAAAATAATAACTCAGCTTGTCATTAATTTTTTTTTTCAATTCATTTTAATTTCATTTCAAATTCAAACTGTCCAACAAAAACTGGAGTCGGAGTGAACATTTTTTTAACCACTTCAGCTCACTGCTTTTATCCCAGAATCTGCTGGACTCCACAGCCCTGATCAAAGTCATCGGGTTCTCATTCATGCTCCCTATTTGGGACGTTTCAAAATTAGTTATTTTTTATTTTTCAACCACACTTTTGGAAGTTTATTAATCTCTCTTCAAGATGACTTGGTAACTTCTGTAAAATTTTGGTATGATGGCTTAAGTATAATCCATAATGATTCATCTCTTTCAGCAATGTTCTGATGCATGAAAGGAATTATTTACAAGAGCAAATTTTTCATCTTTCATGAGTTTCATGGCTTGCAAATGTATTGTAGTTCTGGTTATGACATAAACTTGCTGTCTGTTGTCTAGAATCTAAACACTTAAATTTTTTTCTAGTTCTGGGAATGACACTGATCCATAACACAGGGCCTTGTTAGATTTAGGAGTTTTCTTTAAAATAGACACACTTTTTTTTTTTTTTAGTTACAGATCATCTCATTCAGTCTGAACTTACATGATGCAACAGAATTGTTCGTATGCTCCACAAATGAAGCTACTTTCAGCTTGAATTTTTTAATGTAAGACCTTTACTTTTGTCTTACACAACTCAATGCAGGGAGTGTGTAGCTCAGGAAAGAGCTGTTTCATTATAATACAAGGCCAACTATCGCATAGATGGTTATAGTGGTTAGGAGAGCCTACTATGGTACAGAAGGGCTCGGGTTCGAATCCTGGAGAAGACATGGATGTTTGTAAATGTATAGTGTCGGTGCAGCATGGCGGCACTCTATATATACAGTGGGGTGAAAGTCTTCTCGTGTGGATTGGTGGGAGAGGAGAGGGGTAGGAGACCCTTGGATCCCCTCCCTCTGGAGTGCTCTCCCTCAAAACTGGGGGTGGAAAATAGAAGTCCAACCTCTCTTCGGAGAGGCTCTGGCAACCATTGTTCCATGTAATATGGACAAGACAACAACAACAAAAAGCCAACTATCCAGCATTCAATTCACAAGAGAGTTCAAGTAATTAGAATATTTTTGAATTTTAGAAAAAATTTAATAAATGAGTGATTTGTAATGCCATTATAAAGCTTGTAATACAATTAACGTAGTATATACATTGTCAGCGAGCAGCATGATTTAGAAACAATAATGGCATCACAACACAGTCATAAAAAGTTCCTTTTGGTTTAATGTACATTCGATTAATTCTCGACAAGCTGGTTTAATTTTTTTAAATATGGATGCAAATTCTACTTCTTTCTTGCATTTTGAAAAAATGATTAATATATGGAATATTCTGAAAGTTATAAGAACTAGGCATAAAAAAAAAGCCATAATATGCAAAGATACATAAACAATGGCAATGTAATGTAAAAAAATTATGATAAGTGATTTAAATGCTATATCCATAATTCATTTCTCCTTTTAATTAACTAAATAAAGAATGATATTGTACATTTAAACTTCCACTGGACTGAATAACAATATCTCCATCAACTTTGATGTTCAGCAGGATTTCATAATGAGATGAAGCCTACGAAATATGTCGGTTTTTATAAAACTCAAATGCTATTTTTTTAATCTAAATTTTAAATTAATGCTTTTGATATTTAAGTTGAACAAATAAGATGATTGTTTTTATAATTTTAGAGCAGAATTTTTTCCCATTAATTTGGCTTTTTTAAAGGTAATTCCATTTTATAAGCTCAACCAGAATTTTCACGAATCCTGAATTTGGTTCTGGACAGTCAAATTTTACTGTACTTCTTCAGAAAATTGGCTTTGAGAAAGGATGAAGTAAAAAACTTATAAACCATACTTTGATATTTAAAACAAATTATTAATAAGCCAGCATGGAAATATTACACAAGCTTCATTTTTTTATTTGCAGCTGTTGAGATTCTTGGGAGGCTTACTACTAATGAATTATGAAATTCAGGAAATTCAGGATTTGAAAATTCTGAAAGTTAATCACCAATATGATTTATAGACCTCAATACCGGTACATATACTCAAAACATTGAAAACTCTGGGTTTCTTTTAAAAAAGGGCATGATAAGAAAACATCGGAGAACAGAATGACACCATTTGGATTCATTCGTAGACAAATTTATATGGCTCCAAGTTAACAAAGAAGATGATTTGTTGCTATTTTAAATGCTATCAGGGATTTTTGGTCCCCAAAAAGACTGCTATAAGTTTTAATGAATTTTTTATTAGATAATTTCCAAATTTGAACTCATATTTAATTAAGTTTTTTACATGTTGCATTCACAATTATATTTGTATTGATTATATAATAAAAAGAGCAATATACTAACAAAATAAATAGATATCTGTTCCTTCAAATTCTGCCAGAATAATTGCCATAAATTTTGTGAGATCTCCACTAACTTTTAATGTCAATAATAGCCAACTTTTAAGGTCAATGAGATAATATGTAAGCACCTTTATATTTAGCATTATATTTTATTACACAATATCCATTCTTTCAAATTCACCAAAAAAAAAATCTGGTATTTTCTGATTATCCACACCCTTGCTTTGTCGCCAAAATAGTTACATGATCACCAACAATATTGCCAAAAAGTAATTATATGGCTACCCAGTATGTGTATAGTATAGGTCTGTTTTGACCACTGGGCAAAGTAGAAAAGAACTGAGTTTGTGCAATTTTTTAATTTTTTTAAAGAAAAAAACTGATCACTGTGTACATAGGAAAAACAGCACAAAAAAGAAGAATTTCTTAAAAATGATAAGTGTTTTAATACTGATGTTTCTTACCTTCTTAATTTTATACTTTGACTACTTCTGTATGGAATTTTCAGTGTGCCTGCATTTTTAAAAAGATTGTTGCTTTTAGCATATTAGCCTGGCAAAAAATTAATACCCAAAGAGTTTGCAAATGCTAATCAAAGTTGGCAACAAGTTTGGTGGAAGTGTGCAGATAATCAGAAATCATCAAAAGTGTTCAGAATAAAGCAAGTTATAAATTTGAAAATTAAGCACAAAAGAAAATTTTTTATGTTTAAAAAACAATGCAAGTATTCTACAAACCTGCTCAAATCTGTTTGCAGGAGGCCTCATAACTCCTTTCACACAATTTATAACTTCAAAACAGATGTTTTCCCCCTCTTTATCACAATCAAGCCATAATATTAAATAATCACAATTGCGTGCCTAAAATATTAAGGATGATTTTAAAATTAAGAAATATTATGTAATTATTAATACAATTAGACTATTTTACATTACTTACTTCAGACTGCAAGAACTTAGGAATTTGCAACTTGGGATTAGCTTCCCTTTTTTCAATTGGAGCTAAAAACAGCTCAGCCTAAAAGAATAAAAGCAAAACTTTAGCAAACACTTTAGCAAAACTAAAACTTCCAAACCACTTTTATAGTTAGTGATAATAATTTATTTTTATAAATAATAATAATGATAACAAATTTTAGATCTAGTTAAGCCTTTCTTTGAACATCACATAGTAAGCAATCTACTGCCTTTAGTTAGTTATTGTCTATATGGTAACTGGTAGCTTTTAGATGATAGCATTAAAACAGGTAGCTGCTTGAATTATTTTTTTTTTTCCGGTGAATTTAAAACACATTTGAATTTCAAATAGCATCTTAGTGGCACCATCTAATAAATAAATAAATAAATAACTAAAAGTAGCAGATTGCATACTAAATACTTACACTTTGTTTTCTCAACATCATATAAGGTAGGCGATACGATTCTGACAACAATAAAACTATTTTAAGGACTGGTCCAAAGCCCACCAAACTCACACAGTTGCTACTTATCTTTCTTTCCCATTTTGAAACATGATTAAAATTTTAGACCTGCCTTCTATGGGACAATATGCATGGAATATTTTCAAGGTTAGATGATATCCTGGGAATAAGAAAGGCTGTGTTAAAAGACACGGCATGCAACTTCATTCGAAAACTGATAAACAATAGTATGTTACATGAAAACATATGACAAGCAGTTAAAGGTCCCCCCCCCTTTTTTTAAAGCCCAAGTTTGATGGGATCTCTACTGATCTTCATAGGGAAAAACGTTTTATTATCTGTAAAATTATTTTATACGTTCATGGTTTACAAGAATACAATGTATTTCCCAAAATATTATGTACCATATATTTCAATGCACCAGCTGAAAATTTTTGGAACATTTTTTTGAAGCTAAATTATGAGGGATGACTATTACACAAACCTGCTAATCTCACAAAAAGCATAGATACTTTTATGTCAGCTGAACACATATCGCTAAATATGCTTCTATTTTTTTAAGTTGATAAAAAAATTTAATTTTAAATTAAATGAATTATTCATTTTTTTGAAAATCAGTTGCTTTATTTTCAAAATTGTTTATATTGCTCGTTTGCAGCATTGTCAGCAAAACAAAAAGTTAAAATAAGACTAGCAGATACCACAGATCGTATAAAAGACAAAAGATTGGAGAAAATATCCTAGCTTCAAACAAGTTTACAAGAGTTAAAACTATTTCCTGTTTTACTTTGCAAATTCATTGGAAAATAGTCTATCTGTTTTTACCTACTTGGCAATAATTTTGCCTTTGTGGTGATATGTTTGAATGTTACAGGATTTTTCTTTTCATTTCAGCTTATATATAGATTTTGAATTATGGGTAAATTTTTGAAGAAAAAATGTACTCTCTGCTTATAATCAGAAATACAAAGCAATTTTAAATGTAGGCTTCTGATAACAAGTAAAGTGACTTTTTATAACATTAGAATGGAAATTTCTTCTGTTCATTTGGCTTCTCTATCATGCATTGCATTTTTTAAACACTCAATTGGTAGAAATTTTCTTATATGTGGTAACTGGCATTTCTCAAGCTTTCTACACAGTTGAGCTTTTACTGCACAATGTTTAACAATACTAAATTCTTAATACCATGGTAATTTCACATAATTTTAATACACCATATATTAACTATCATTATTTTGATGTGGAAAGATCTGTTATTTACATGTGAATAACATCTAAACAGAACGTAAAATTATAAGCAACAATTTCTTTAGCCATATATTTTAAAACCAATCAATTAAAAACATTATGCTGTTACGGTTAACTAACAAATTTGGGTCCATCAATAATCTTTACAGAACATGATGTTAAACAAGAATTGTAAATCATCAAATATACCCTTTTCTTTTGCAAATTTGAAACTATTAATCATTATATATTAATTCTGTGACCATTATTATCTGTAACAAATTTGAAGTAATTAATCATTATCGATTATAATGGTCTAATGGCAATGAAACAGCTAAGGAAGTGTTGTCTATAAAGTAACAACGCTAGATTTGCATCAGCTAATTATAAATTTATCTGTAAGAAAATGATGGCAAATAAGCTAGGCATAATACCACAGATGCACACGTATATATGTTACAGTAAATGTGATTAATCTGGTGATTATATATAATAATCGATAATTATGCATAATCACTACTAAATTTGGTAAATATGGTAAAATTTTAAAAATTTATCGAATTAACCTGTTTGTTTGCATAATTCCCAACTCGTAATGGTAAATGTGAGGAAAGTCCCTAACTTTATGAAAATACGTTCAGTTTGCACAACTGCTTGGCTTCTATCAACACGTTACAATCGCGTGATTTCAGTCATAGTTCTCATTTCATTGCATCTAAACTGGGTGTTCTCAACCAGTGGTACGCAAGAGAAAAATAGGTGGTACGCAAAAAGAGCAAAGTGTTTTCAACTATTAAATTCAAAAATTAAAACACCAACATCATGATTGAGGTTTTCTCTAACACTCATAAATTTATGCGATCTGAGCTTTGTTCGAGAGTGGTGGTAATAGTAGTACTTTGTAGTGGTGGTACTAAAGGTTTTCAATTTTCGTTTAGATGGTACGCATTAGTCAAAAGGTTGAGAACCGCTGATCTAAAGGTTTTTTCGCTACCCTTCCGTATTTGATAAAATATTGAATAATGGCTAAGAAAGCAAATGAGAGTTTTCTGACGAAAGAAAGATATGATAATTTGTTAAAAAAGTTAATAATAGTAAAAACAAAAGTAGTGGTAAAGAAACCAGAAGATTATTAAAAACTAAAAAGATATGATGTAATGAAAGTAGGTAATGTTGAAAAACTTATCATTCCCATAATTGAAGATAGCCCAATGTTAGATTTTACATGTACTTTGTAGAACTTTTTACCATAATTCATGAGGTACACTTGTCAATAGGCCATGGTGGTAGAAACAGGATATTAAAAGAACTTCAGAAAAAATACAAAAACATTACTACCGAAGAAGTCATGATTTACTTAAATTTCTGTGAAAGTTGCCCCCCCCCAAAAAAAACAAGGTACCTAAGAAAGGACTTGTTGTTAGGCTAATGGTCTTTCAAGAGATGAACTCAAGATGCCAGGTGGACCTAACTGACATGCAGTCACAAACAGATGATGACTTTATATTTGTCTGTCAAGACCACTTGACGAAGTTCGTACAGTTGTGTGCCCTAAAACGCAAATGCGCAGAAGAGGTTGCATATCACCTAATTGATACTTTTACTATATGTAGATCCCCCAGTGTACTGTAAAAGTGACAATGGTCATGAGTTTAGTAACAAAATCGTAGAAGAAGCTTGTGCAATGTGGCCGGATATGAAATTTGTGCACAGAAAACCTAGGCACAGCCAGACTTGAGGTTCGGTTGAACATACAAACCAGGATATTGAAAATATGCTAAGTTCTTAGTTGGAAAGCAATCACACCAGTAAATGGTCCAAAGGGTTACATTTTTATGCAACTTATGAAAAATAGAGCATTTCATGAAGGCATCAAGTGTTCTCCTTATGAAGCAATGTTTGTGACGCCTGCAAAATTTGGCTTGAAAACGTCTTCTTTTCCAAATGATTCTATCATAGAACTGAAGAAGGGCTCCAGACATTAATCGAGACAGTTAACAATGCTTCCGGTAACACCGATAGTGAAATAGAAATAATTTCTAATAATGGACAAGAACTATCTATCTCAAAATGACCCTCCATCCGAAGTTAATTTTAAGACTCAGAAAGAGAATGAAGCAGCAGTTGCTCCAATCCAGACAGTATTTTATGCAGACAAGAGCAAGTAAGAAAGCATAGAATGAGTGCTAAAGAAGGTTTAGAATTACAAGCAAAGAAAATGTTAAAGGTTTCAAACCTTAAATTTCCTACTGGTAAAATTAGTGACACAGTGAATGCCAGACGTTGACAGAACAAGAAGTGATCCCCGAAATTTATTAGCGGCAATATTAAAAGTTTAAAATGAAGAGTTTAATCAGTTAGGAACAAAACAAGGAAGAATTTTTTTTTTTTTTTTTTTTTTTTTCCTCAAGAACATGGGCTTAGTTTGTTTTTTATGTGCAACTGTTTTGTACAAGTTCATATAAATTGTATTTTGTTATCTCACAACACCTGTCAGTCCCTTATTCAAATTTTGTTCAGGCTAAATAAACGTATGCGACTTAACCATTTATTGACTTTTTAATTGTAAACTATAAAATATTGTAATTTGTGGTCTCTTATGCCATAGCGTCCAACGAAAAAATATCCTTCTGAGTAGTAACTACTCAAACAAAACTGCACTCTATTCTACTGGCCCAATCAGTCATAATATTTATAACATTTACAATTACAAGTTGGGAATTATGCAAGCAAACCGGTTAATTTGATAGATTTTCAAAAATGTATCATATTTACCAAATTTAGTGTTGACTATGCATAATTACAGGTTATTATTTATAATCACCAGTTTATTACTTTTATTGTAACATATATATAATATATATTTGGCTTTTGTCTGCTCAAAATAAAAAAAATTTTAAAGTTTCTTTTATGTCTTGATCTTATAATTTTGCAATTTTGTACACTACTTACTTCAGCCTGTAGCAGTTGACCTGATAAAAATACAGATTATGATTTAATCTTTGATTGATTTTCTGTAAACTTTAATTTGTGTTTTTGCTGGTTTAGAAATAGACTATTTTATTTGCTTCTTTCGTTGCAACTCTCAATGGTGATTCAGTGAAACATGTAAATTTCTTTTTTCATTTTTGGTTTTAGGTATGTTTTGCCTTTTTTCATGCAGATTGCCACTGTGTTTCTGATTTTTTTTTATGGTCTAGTCTGAACTGAATATGGGATGGATTTTAAATGTATTATTTACATTGATTTATTTCTGTATATATACATTTAAAAGATGAGACTGTTTTACTTACCCAAGTACTTAAAGAAAATAACACACCCCCACAATTTATTAATTATTTTCTTAACAAAAGCTAGTGTTCAATAT